ACGCAAAGGGGTAACTAGGTTGTAAGGGCGGTTGTATTTATTTAAATTTAATGGTACGTGGTCGCAGGCCACGGGAACGCTTTTCTGATGATTTCGAGAAAAACTTCAATAAAGAGGTGTAAAATGGACAAAATGAGATGTAAACGGACTCAGATTTGATATACTACTATTCATAGAAGCAGACATGGTGGTGAAGGTGGTGGAAGAGGGTGGGGAGGTGGTCCTATAGGGATTCCCAATTCGACGACGGCGAGTGATTGAGATTCCCCTCTCTCACCAATAGCCCTAGTTTTATGTCAGTTTTCTTTCTAGTATTTGCTCCCAACCGCATGGGTACACCGGCGACGCTCCTAGGTGGACCTGGCGTTCCCGGTCTGCCCTGTGGGTGGGGAGCGAATTGAGCTCCTGAATAGCAAATTCTACACATCTTCGTCCACTTCTGACAGTTTTTCAACCAGCAGTACCCCTTCAGAACCAATTGAATGAGAATTCCCATCTGAGACCCCATACACTTTATTAGGAGAACATCAGCAGACGAAGGCCTCGGAATATCCATCCGAACCCACATAGACCTTCCATGGAATAGAACTGCTGTAGTGGCTCGAAATAGTCTCCATGTGGAGCGTCTCTGTACAAATTACACCACAGCAGTCCTCCCTAGGGTCTAGAGAAAATGTGGATATCGCGAGAAAAAAAAACTACTCGATGCGCATGATAGAGTTCTACAGATGGAACATAGTCCCGTACTCGCAGAAGATATCAGCAAGCTCAGTTCTCACGACAAAGACCGCTAACAAGGAGGAAGTGGCTGAGCGCATGGGGTGGCAGAAGTTAAGCTCTCTTCTCGCGGCCCACGCGCTCCATATATAAGAGCCTAACCAGAGCAGAAAGCGTCCAAACCACAAAATCAAAAGAAAGTGGAAATCGATTTATCTCGAAGACCCTAGACGGTACAGTTTCATTTACAACAAACACAATTTTACCCTAAGTCAGTGTAAGTATACGAGTAACTAAAACTGTGGCGATCCCTTCTTCTATTACCTAACTACTCTAGGATCACTCTTATTACATGAAAAACACAGGTCCACTGATTGCTTTGAAACACAATAGCATGACAAGACATCACAATCTCTCACAATTGACACCAAATAACTATTATTTTAATTGTAGAGCTCTGCCTAATAGAAAAAGCTGATGTAAGATGATGAGTGCACTCCTCCAACCTGAAAATATCACTGAGTAAAGGTTTTCGCGACATAAAATCATAGTTTCCTGAATGACACCTCACTACCAGGGAAGGCATTCTTCTCATGTAACTTCAGGAGGCCCAACAATATATGGGGACTAAAACTGCAAAATGAACCTGCCCAAGGAAGTTGTGAGCAGTCAAAGTTGGCTAAAGTAAAGCGTTACATATGAACCGTGCTATGTTCCAGGCTTTCAAGTCGCCGCGGAGTAGTGGTAGTGCCCTCGCTCTTCCACCCGGGAGGTCATAAGTTCTCTTCCTGTTGGAGTGCAAATTTTGAGAGCACTACCACTACTCCACGGCGACTTGAAAGGCCAGCACGGTTAGTACGTAACGCTTTACTTCCAGCCAACTTTGACTGCTCACAACTTCCTTGGCAGGTTCATTTTGCAGTTTTAGTTTCCATATTTGTAATCAGCGTTTGAAGCTCTATCGATATATCTGGGTCTCGCTTCAAAGTTCCATGGGAAGTTGAATGCCTTTCCTGCTAAGGACCAATATTGCAATTGCATTTGGGATCATAATTACTGACAACTCTTATCTTTTTCAACCTTAGTCGGCTTTACCAAGAAGGAATGTCTTATGTTGAAGAAGAAGTGTCTTATATTGAACGGTTCAGAATATTCCGAGGTGTTACACTATTTTTCCAATCAGCTATGGTTACCCACAAGAACATTTATCTCCCTTCATCTTTATAATACTATTATAAAAGCGTCGATAGGAAGAGCCAATTTCAGCACATTGGCGACAATTCGGACCACATATACAGTGGCGGTCAAAAGTTTGGAAACATTTTATTTTTTATCTAGCAAAGCCAATAGACAACGAAATTGTCTCAAATTTTTTAGTATATACAAATCCAAGTCTAGAATACGATAGGCATTATAATTTCCCGAAATCAGAAATCACAATTAGAAAATACGGATTTTTTCAGGGAAATCCCGCGTCAAAAGTTTGGAAACTTTTTGTTTCCCTCACCATTAAAATTCCTACTATTCGATGTTTGCATATTCTGTTAATTTTAGTGTAGTTATCAAGTGTTATGTACTTTTGAAATGAATCCATGTGAAAAGGAAACATCATCTCCATAGGAATGGTTTTTTAACACATTCACGACGACGCCCCTTTTCCACTTTTCGGTCGCGTGGGACGGACGCGATTTTGTGGGCGCCGCCGCCTCACCACATAACCGCAGATTTTGTTTTGTAAATGAACAAAAACATGAATGTCACAAAATAATTTCTGCAATGTCCAATGCGTAAAGATTATCTAAACATATAACAGTAGGATTTCGATCAGAACGACAAATAGTGGTTACGAAAAGAGAGCATTTATTCACTTTCCCCGTGAAGGAATTTAAAAGCATTTTACACTCGATTACGAGATTTGCCCACCTATCTGTCCATTCCTAGCGCCTGGCAAGCGATTATCAGTTGGCAGCCCATATGGGCTGCCATCGTCCCAGGAGCACATGTTGTTGGCAGCCCATATGGGCGGCCATCGGCGTGAATGTGTTAAACCCTACAGTCTAGAATACGAGATTGAAATTGTTTCTCTTTAGTTAAAACTACGGAAGCATTATTATCCAAAGTTTCTAGCGTTGTTGGAGTCGAGCAAGCATAAGAAGAATGACATATCACAAAAACATCCTCACAAGAAATTTTGCCCATCTTTTTCGGGTTTTCGGATCCGGTCAAATGGAAGTCCAAGTGCAGGTCAGCATCGGCGGGACCTAGCAGGATGGCCCAACTGGCTTCCACACACTACCGCCTAACTGGACCGAAGGCGAAAGGCAAAAATTTGTGCTAAGCGACAACTGATATTTCTGCCTTCCTGAAATAATGTTGTGAGCCCTGTCAAGTGTTTTGTCAAATGGAAACCTCATTTTGAGGTATAAACTCCAACAGTCAGAAATAGTGGAAGTACTGTCATGGATGACGATGTGTCCGACCATTCGGCGATTCCCCAGTTCTTTGTATCCAGAGAAATGTGGGTTGGGCTAAATACAAGGATGGTCTGACGAATACAATGCTTCTCTTCGATAGTCAGAACTAGCCAAAAATATGGGTTTCTATTACAACATTGATCCGATGCGGGCCTACCTCCTCCTGGCCGCCTTCCAAAACTCAGGAGAAAAAGCTGTTGTGAAGAGACCAAGTCAAGATCTTAAGTCTAACTGAGTTCTGCACCCAAAAAAGAGCTGGCATGAAAAAACAGCTGGCATGCCGAGCAATCCACATTTCAGCGAAGAATCCTACCGAGCAATTTGATTCAGTTCACAAAATGTAGGCTTCACTCAAAAGTTCTAAAATAATTTTTAAATCAATTCAATGACAAAAAAACGATAGTAGCTAGAAGTTTCGATCTACGCAACAAACTGATAATTCCTCATGTATATTTAAGAGCTACTGTTGTGAATTCGCTTCGGAATTGAAGAGTTTCCAAACTTTTGACGCGCCGCTCTTTATAAAAAATCGGATGTCTTTCCATTGCGATTTGCGATTTTCAAAGGTGATATAGCACATCGTATTCTAAACATGTTCTTTCTATATAATATGTGAATTTGTAACAATTCTGTTGTATATTGACCACGCTAGGTGAAAAATAGAAAAGTTTCCAAACTTTTGACCGCTACTGTAGATTGAAGTAAGTCTCCACTCTTTCTAAAGCTGATAACACGCGCTCTAACAAAATTTCCGATCAATCACAACATCCTGCTAGTCACCTCTGCACTACTACTACAAAAAGAGGGAACGATGAATGCCTCTTTATTAGCAAAGTTATTGATTAGCAAGGTTTAGGCATTAGGCTTATCCAGCATCTTCTTCAGTGCGATGGTTTGGCGCACCGTCATTCGATGACACCCCAATCAGACTGCGAGATATCCACTGTAACCATAAAACTAGTGGCCAAGCACATTTTGTGAAGCCGTAGCGCCATTGTCGCCCACTTTTGAAACGTGACAACGGCATACTTGTAATATTCGTGGACACTGTACCCCACTCACTGAATAGATTCTTTGACATGTCCTTGCCGAGGTTGTTGCTTTAACGGTCATTGCTTTGAAAAAGAAAAAATTATAGACAGCTTGGGGAATTCGAGGTGACAGTTTGTGGGAGTCGTCACAAACCAGTTCAGCTAACATCGTAATATTTTGAACTTCATATTGAATTACGCTCACTGATTGGAACATGTGAGTCACTCGTCGACAAATTGTTTCCTAAAAGGGATTCATGGAGGGTGCAAAATTTTGAACACTAATTCCGCTAAAAGAACACTTGTAGAAATTAGTTGTAGTCATCGTTGTACTTTGGGCACTAAAAATTTGCTGCATAGAGTTAAACATCAATGAAACATAACGTCTTTCGCACAGCTGATGAAGAAGGCAAAGCCATCAACTATCTGCTACGCTTTTATTGTGTTCGAACCAGAACAATCGCCATATGAGAAATTTTAAAAATACTGCTCCTATAATTATGATGTGAACAGTGAATCACCACGTTAATAATTAGCATTGCGAATTAATATGTACACATTCCAAAGCATCTTTGAGGTGGGTAAAGCAAACAGATCATCTTCGACCGTGCAACTTTGCAAAGAAAAAAGAAAAAAAGTGAACATACCTACACTCTACTTAATGTTGAGACTTTTCTTGCAAGCGGCCACGATCTGAGGTGCTCGGGGAAGACATGCGTCCTCAAGATGATGGGCAAATGGCATCGGTACGTCTACGCCCGTGACACGCAAAATAGGAGCATCCAAGTAGTCCCACGCCGGCGACTCGTTTACTTGCGCACAAATTCTGCTCATTCTACAAACCACTCTATTGTCATGGAGCATTAAGGTTGCTGAATTAGGCAGGTCTATCTAGTAGACATCAAACCTGTTATGATGAGACACAAAAAACTATACAATATTTTGGTGATGAGTCAGCAACCCAATGATATACGGTGATTGTTACAACATTGAACACCCTCGTAGTATACTCACAGCTATTCCACAAATTGCTTGGTCGCACCACCCAACTTGGACGGCCATCACTTTGGGAGAAATTTCGACAACGCGTGACGTCTCCCATGAGGGAGCTCTCTCAAACAATCCCTCCCAATCACTTCCTCTTCCAAACAGCCACAATTTCTTTGCATTCGATTTCTGAAAATCTTGCCACCACCTGCACACTGGAAACTTTGTCCCCGAAACGACTGATAAGCGTCCCCTAGTTCCTCACCTCTGGGAAAATTACGCCCAATTCCCAAAGATAACTTCTCATGTCTTCCAGAAATATGAAACTTCAAAATGGGATGAGACCCCCTTGCTGAGAAAAGCCCAACGGACCACTGAATCTCACGAGCCAAAACTTGCAACATACATAAAAAGCAAACTGACACCAATCGGGAAAAGAAACTTCTATGAAAGAAAATTTTAGGAATGACAATAGGGGCAATTGAAAAAAGAAAACACGAACCAGAAGTTAAGTAGCGCAGCGCAAATTCTGGAATAAAGATATATTTACCTGCAAACGGCCAGCCCTGCTCGACGGTGACAAGATGGTTCGTCTTCATCACTGACTTCTGGATAGTATCAAAATCTAGGGGGCGCAGTGATCGAAGGTTGATTACCTGGTTGAAATATATTAGCTTAAATACGAACAGCGAGAGCGAAAACCTATCAAGGTAGCACAGTATCCTGATTGTAAAATCTACCATATTATCAACTGCTTCATGGACTGCAGCAAAAAAAAACAAGAATTGCGAAGGTGAAACTATATCTCACCTCGGCGGAAACTCCCATGGCTTCAAGCTCTTTAGCAGCTGCGAGGGACAACTCAACTCCTTTGGAGAAAGAAACGATGGTAATGTGATCCCCAGGTCTGAAAAACAATAGAGAAATTCAGAGTAATAACCCAATTTACCCTTGGAATGAACCGACCTTTCGATCTTGCATTTTCCGATGGGTAGAACAAAATCTTCCTTCTGCATTTCTTCGGTAACAGGGAACGAATGACCATAGAGAATTTCGTTTTCCAAAAACACAACTAGAACAGAGGAAATAAAGAAAAACTAAATGTCAACAAAATGAAGCTTGAGACAATGGTGGAACTACAGAAATTCGACAGAAGCTTGCATTTCCCGTACAACTGATTGTTTGTCTAGCTAGTCCACTGTTAAAGAAAGGGAGCGAACTCAACAAATGAATCAGTTCAGAAGATAAACTGCTTGAATAGTCGATATATTGCAGTGGAACGAAGAGCGTGCGAGCCCGTGACTTGAAGCAGTATTCGCAGTTTATGGCCCAATCTTAGCAGATCTACGATGCTTGAAACTACCAAAAACAGAATAAGTCCCTGGACCCACTGAAGTGAATTGCACGATATGGTGAGAGTTGAACTCTGAGCTTGCATCATTCTAAAGCATTCCTTGATACCAGATATTAGAACTCATATTAAAATACAGCTAGAGCACCTACGCAATAATTGTCCACGACTTTGTTATCTATTTCGAGATACTCTGCTTTTACGCTCATTGACTGATCCACTCCTTTCCCAACCAAATGAAAGATTCCGAATCGAAACGAATTTGTCAATTTGGTCCTGCTTTACCCTCCAAGATTGATATTGATAAAACCTTGATGCGCAAAGGCCACTGAGAACATGCTAGGGAAACTAATGATACCTCATGGATGTCACGCGGAAGCAGAGTGGGCACCTTCATGGCTACTCGTGCAATCGTAGCAATCTCACGGCATTGAGAACGTATCGATCTTCCGACCGTCCGAAACGTGCGATCGAACGATCGGCGCTTTTTTAATGCTGCGCGATCATTCGATCAGAAGCGCCTATGAAAGCGCCCATAGAAAAAGAGAGTATGACACTCCATGAGTGGTAAGCGGTCCGGACTGAGTCAAAAAAGACTTAGAAACGCTAAATTGACAAAACTGTTCAATTCAAGAAAGAGAGGTCAAAAAAGAGTTGAAGCACAATAATAGTACTACTAATAACAGCATAAACACTGCTAACTCCAACACACTAACCCTTGAAGAAAGCGCTCACCTGGATTATCATCCCTGATTGCAGCCTTCAAAAGACCCTTCGCATCCTCCGAGCTGTAAGGTGCCAGCACCTGCAATTTTCCAACATAATAGAATGTTCATGTCTTTTCAACTAACTAGTGCAGATGTCGCGCACATAGAGAATGTGCACTTCTGTGCATTTCTGCAAATTCCATACAAATGATGGCTTCAGTGTCAGTCATAATTGCTTGTTTTAGGTGTAACCAATTGTTGGAAGCACAAAATTATTTAGTCCCCACATATTGTGAATAAGTTCAGGCACGCACTTTCAGTCCCGGGCAGTGAGCGTACCACGCACTGAAGTCCTGGGAGTGTTGTGCTGCAACACCAGCGGCGGCACCATTTGCTCCACGGAAAACAATTGGACACGGCACCTAAATTTATCATTCTCAGCATAAAAGAGACCATAGCAAAAAAGCGTGTGCTGCATCGTCAACGAACAATTAACATCAACAAATCCAAGCAAGCTCTTTCGAATATACACATTTTATGATGTTTCGATCGCGCTGAATGATCAATGTCTACATTTGATGGGTTCAAATTCTATCAGAACACACCTTTCTGCTGACATATAGTAGGTCTTTGCAGCAGAGTTGATCATCTGATCTATAGCTTGCATGGAGAAGTTGAATGTCATGAATTACGAAATCGCCCGTGCCAGCAATAAGGGCACGACAGCGATCCTGACAATGACACTGATTGTTGTTTCTCGTTAGTGCCAGATAAAGATGAAAAAAAAGAACCTCAACCATTTTAAACTCTAAAGTGAGTGGACTCGAAAAAACGTTATGCAAGCTTCAATTTAAAAAAAAACATACAAAAGAAGATAAATTAACGTTTGCAACAACTACATATAAGTCACGAATGCTAATACTACACTTCAATCAAAAGCAAGCGATGTAAAATATGGTATGGTGACCCAATTTGTTTTTATTACAGTTCTCCTATAGCAACCCAAAAATCTCACGAAAAAATTGTCGGAAGCTGTGAGAGAATGGCAAATGGGTAGAAAACAGTTGATATGTTTGAATTTAAAAAGGGAATGTCGTATTGGCTACTAGAACACCCCTATAAGTGAAAAGCAAAGCGAAATTTCTCTCAAAGATTTCGAGATTGTATTAGTGAAACTGCAGATTTCTAGATTGAGGGAACACCTCACAAAGGGAGCCATTCAGAAAACGGAGCGCGTTTTGAAAATGGTTTTCTGAATGTTGTAGAGGCTCATGTGAGGAACACAGAACCATGGATCCATTTTTCCTGAACGCCCCCAGGAATGTCAAAAGGGGAAGAAATGGTCCAAAGTTCGATCCTCCGTGATGACAAATTTTTGCAATTTATGTTGGCGCCTCCAAATTGCCGCAAAACACGACAATGACATCTATTCTCGACGATGGCGCCATTTGGCGGCAATCTGGGGGCGCCAAACTATATTGCAAAAATTAGTCATCACCGGGGATCGAACTCTGGACCATTTCTTCACCACTGTTTTGACATTCCTGGAGGCGTTCAGGAAAAATGGATCATGGTTCTGTGTTCCTCGCATGAGCCCCTACAACATGCAGAAACCATTTCAAAAAAGCGCTCCATGTCCTGAAAGACCTCCCTTGGCAGAGTAGATCGTGATAAGAAATTCTGATTGATAATACCATCCATTGAGTAAATAACAATGCACATGCCCTGCATTTCCTCATTGACCGTTCTCAAGTTATTAACTACAGCTAGTATAAATGTACCTGTGAAGCCTTGCTCTGTAATAGGTGTGTCAATGATTCGATCGTCCCCATATTTCTTCCACAATCCCTTCGAAACCTGCAAGCACTACTTCAATGAAAGAAAGAGTTAGAAAACACTTGGCGCGGTAATGACACCGTTGATGTGTCAGCAACTTTTTTCGGCTTTCCCGCTCCTTTTTCAATCTTTCAAGGAAGACCGCAATGCAGACGAGAACAAAGAGAGCCCGAATCCCTTTTTCAAATGGGAGATGTTTGCTCGAAAACGGCAACGGAGATCAACTCGAATTCTCAACAGAAATGCAGCGGTAGAGGGAAAAAGTACGATAGAAATGATGTCATTCGCAACCTTACTCTTTAACCACATTCACTTTCTACAGGTCCACAAAGCTGTAGGCGGAAATATTTGTTAAAATCAGTTCCTCTGAAGGATTCGACAAAAGGAACAGACCTTGTACGCTCCATCATACTGAGCTACTTCCTCTCCGATCAAGAATACGCGGTCGTCCCTCTTGATCTCCTCATCCATGGCCTGGTTGAGCGCATCTCGCACTGTTATGGCTTAAACGAGATAATTCTAAAACTGTTCCCACTTATGATTAATATCATTAGGGAAAAAAGTTATATTGAATACA